AATAACTTTAAGGCTCTTGGAGACTTTGTTACTTTGTTCCTTTTTTGGTTCCGGTCTTCTTTTATAGGGGTCTCCGAAAAAGTAGTTTTTTGTTTACCTTCCAAGGGGAGTAGAGATAAAACCATTCTATTGTAACCCCATGGCCTTTCTTTACTTGTCGAGCACCTCCCATCCAAGCTCTCAAATTTTAGGGTTTAGGGTTTAGGGTTTAGGGTTTAGGGTCTCAAATCTTTGCACAGCCTTTACGCCCCACAAAACGCCAGAAGACCCTGCTCTGCCTAAAGGTTCATGGGACTTAGCAAGTAGGTTGTAAATAGGGTCGGGTAGCTAAACTTGTAATGACTTATAACCCCGATGAGGCCATTTTGCAACTGTACTTACTATATAAGTCCCATGAACCTCCAGGTAATTGTTCAGGCCCCTACATGGCAGGTTGTCAGGGTCGGATAGACCCCAGACCAAGTTCCGTAGACTCGAAGTTCTATGCCCCACACCTTAAAGCGCACACCCCGCATCCCGAATGCTGTACTCGCTTTGCATAACCATACCGGAAAACTAACACATGGACCATAGCCTACTTTGTTGAAGGGACCTGAACATATCCATATAAGGGTTTGTTATAAGAGCCGGTTATGGTGCCTTCTTGTATTCCATAGGACGAGAGAGCTCCCCCCGAGGTGAACGAGACCGGTGTGGTGGAAGATAGGGCATCAGCTCAGAGCTGCCGGCAGGCAGGTTATCTTGGGCTTAGGGCCATAAGGTTAAGGGTTTACAGAGCCTTCAAGGGTCACCATAAGGTATAAGGGTTTGGAGTTTCTGAAAATGAGGGGTACTTTATTTTGGGGACCTTGTAATAAGGATCCTACTATTTAGGATACATTAGGGTCACACATGTTCGGAAACTCCAATCTTGGGTTTGGGGCGATAAGGTTTAGGAGGAAAAGTGTCTAGGGGTTAAGATGGATATTATCATTTTCGGTTTGAGTGTTTGCTGGCTTAGGGCCTTTAGAAGGCATTTATCGGTAACGCAAATTGTGTCAACTTCAGGCTTGAGAGAAGTGATGGTGATAAGCGGGGCTGCGCGTACTTCACTTGCGGTCATACGTTTTGAGAATCAGCCTATGTTTCGATGCTTTCCACGCAGCCCTACTTGCAAGGAGCCCTTCAAGCAGGGTTTGAGATTGAGGGGTTCCTGGCTTGCCCTGTTGATGCAAGTGCCCATACGGTAGGGCTGTAGGTCCGAAACAGCATATTCTCCATGGCTTCTTGCACCTGGATCCTTACCCTAAGGCTCAAAATAGCCCAAAAGCCTTATATCGTATGGTCTTTGGGCTCAAAGGCCTTAACATATGAGTCTTTAAAGCCTCTAAGGACTCATATTTTAGGGCTTTTGGGCCTAAAGATCGTATTATCTGAGGCTTTTGGGCCATTTTGAGCCTAAGGTTTAGGCAGTTGGACTGAAGATTCGAACTTGCGCCCCTAAACCCTAAACCCTAAACCCTAAGCCCTAAACCCTAAACCCTAAACCGTGGCTCAATGCTTGGGATCCTGGGCTCTGGACATACAGGGAGGGTCATGGGACTTAGTAGCTTTAGGGGTTTCTTAGTAAAGGGATCCCTAGATAGCTTTATGAAGGGTTCTATAAGGGGGTTGGGGCTACTTAAAGGGTCATGGGACTTAGTAGCTAGGGTTATAACCTAAGGTAGCTGTATTTATCATTACTTAAACCCCAATTAGGGTACTTATAGCCTTACTTACGAAGTCCCGTGCAGCTCCAAGTAAGGGGCTGAGGAAATTCTCCCCAAAGCTTCATTGCTCAGGGTACCCGATACCCGACAGCTCGACCCTCGCCACATCAGTTGCCGTAGGGGTGCAAGTGCAGAATAATAGGATACCGTCCCAAACACGAGACTGAATGTCTGCCCACCTGGTTCAAAACCCTACATGTAAATTGCGAGGATTCAGTAAGTATCTAATGTTTTAGAGATACAGTTGCAAGTTACAAGTATCAGAGCCCCAATTGAATTCCCTTTTACTGTACTTACAACTCGGCAAAACAACGACTTACTAAGTCCCCCCATCCTCCTTCCAAAACCACCAAACCCTAAATCCCAAACCCTAAACCACCAAAACCTAAACCTAAAGCCTAAACCTTAAAACCCATGTAAACCCGTAGCTGTTGCCGCGCTCGGAGGCCTTCTGCCCAGAGGCGACACTTTGGGCCTCCCTTTAAGGGTTTAGGGTTCGCGGTTTAGGGTCCAGGTTTCAGGGTTTAGGGTTTGGGGTTCGGGGTTTACGGTTCAGGGTTCATGGTTTGTGTTGTAGTGGGGTTTAGGGTTTGGTGGTGTACCTGAACTCTTGTATCCACGGCACTTGGGTGTTTCTGGGTGTTTCTTTTGATTCGTTTTGAATTCCACGAACTGGAAATGTGAGCCGAAAGGGCTGTTAAGCATTAACATAGTATTTCTAGTTGGGTCAAAGAGGCTGAAAGCCTGAAAAGGAAAGCTTCGAACAATTCGATAGTGTGACTTCTCATAGGTGCAATGACTGGTCTAGGAGGCTTGCAGAGGCCCGAGGTTTGGGATTCGCTTGTGCGCAAACCTTTGGAAGCCTTCGCGCCACTGCAGTCTATTATTGCACAGGCGTGATGTCGCGAAGCAGATGCCCTGGACCCCAACAGTATATAGAATAACAGCTTTTCATGGTTTTGGACCATTATTCCACCTACCTAGACCCTCCATCTATCCTCTATTAGACCCTAAATGCCCATAATTTGGGGCCATATACCCCTATTTGAGGGTACAAGGAGGGTCCTGGTACTTTGGGGGTTTAGGTAGGATCGCTGTCTCTTGGGCTTCGGATCTGCATGTTGCGGGCTTTCGCGAGTGTGCCCAGGGAGTCTTAGGAATCTTGTTGAGCGTCAGCTTCTTGGGTTTTGTTTTGCTGCTCTTTTCCCCAAGGGTCCATATGGGAGTTTCCGAAAATAGGGGTACCCTATTTTGGTGTCCTTATACTAAGGATCCTACTATTTAGGGTGCTATATTTGGGTCCCCGTGTTTTCGGAAACTCCCATATATATATATACTACCATTTGGGAACTACGGTTGATGATATAAACCCTGCGTTACCCATAATAAGGAATATGCCATAATTCCCATAGATTAGGGTCCTTAAGGTAATGCAGGATGTAAATCATCAACCGTGGGTCCCCAAAACCACACCCATCATGGTTTTGCGGACCTAATTCCAAAATGTTAGTATTTGCGGACCCTCTGGGCTTGTAGCAGAATCAAAGGGGAAAAGGAGGGACCCTTAATGGGGACCCCTACCCTATTATATGCTATATAACGGGTATATAATAGCTATATTAAGGGTATATACCTAGGGGTCCTTATTAAGGGTCCCTCCTTTTACCCTTGGACAGAAGCAACCAGTGTGTTGATTTTCTTTAAGCGCACGCTTGGCGCCTACTCAGTGTTCCGTAAGAAGGCACGCGACTGCAAGACGCAGTGCTAATCGAACCTTACTGGTGACAGTGATGTATGTTTGACAGCATTGGATTGTTGATTCGACGGGATTGTCGGTACAAGAACTCTTCAGGGTTTCGCAGAGATCTCACATGAGCCTGCACCTATGAGTCGCCCAAGGGCGCTACTTCCAAAGTCTAAGTTCTTCTCTCATATAGATCTTGGGCTTAAATTCCGCCTCAAACGCCAAATCGGCCAAATCCTAATCACCAAGCTCCAAACAGCAAAAGCACTACCTCGAGTTGAGATCATCGTTCTGAGTTTCATCGTTGTCAAGAACGGCGACTAGATCCACTACCGCGCGCGCGCCAACCCCAAAACCCCGGACCCTAATCCATAAGCCCTCTACTGAACCACCCTAAAAATAAAACAATCATAGAACCCGAAGCCCTATAGAGCTCGAAAGCCCAGGCAGGCATTGAGACTGCAGCCGGAAACGCAGTAGACCTTACTCTAGAACCCCTAAACCCGAAACCGCTTCACCCAAAACTCCCAAGCCCCTTAAAGCCCCAAAGTCCTCGCGGCCGGGGTGGCAGGGCGTCTCTGCGGAGAAGGCTGCTGGATGTCGGACGGACTGCGAGCAACATCCGACATTCTGTCAGGGCCTGAAGAGAACTGAACCCTCGGTTTAGGGTGTAGGGGCTTAGGGTTTAGGGTTTAGGGTCCGTGTACCCAAATAGTATATACTTTGGCCTTGAAGTAGCTATTGTCTAGGTACATCAGGGCCAAAGTATATACTAATTGGGCATACCGACCCGTAGGGGAACAGAGGTTCTTGAACCATGCATGCCTGTCCTATAGAGTTTCACTTTCTCGTGATATGCGCCCTAAAACCCTATCTCTAGAAACTTAGATCCTACAACCCTAAACCCTAAATCCTGAACAGCTCGGCATGACCATTTTGCAAGCCCGTAGGCAGCAAGCTCTGTTTCGTGATGCCAAAACCCCTGAAAAGGTTGCAGTTAGCCGTTTTTTCCGTCATGCATGAATCGCAAAGAGCCCACAGCGGTTTTAAGACTTGATGGCTCCCAAAAAGGGTCCTGCACCCGAACATCCGGGACTCTGGCCTGTTCCAGGTCTTGGCCAAGCAGGTTTAGGGTTTAGGGGTTTTCAGCCCTGAATGAAGCCCAACTTTCGACTCTATTGACCCGTAAAACCTCAAGACAAGACCACAACTTCATGCAATGCAACAGAAACAAGAGCACATGCAAACGGTCCTGAATCTTGACCCTGAACCAGCAACCCGAAGCTCCAACCCCTTGAGGCTTGCACGGAGGCTCTTGGTTTTTAGTGTTGTTGTCGTAGGCTGAAACTCGCAGCTGTGTTCTTGTGTGGGTTTGGGATGTGAAGGTTTGGAGTTTAGGGTTTACAATCAGGTTACTATGAGAGTCGAGATTGCTGCAAGGTCGATCGTGAGAGTACCAATAGTTTATGGCTCAAAGTCGCCTCTAAGTCTAAGATCGGCCATCCATCATGGCGCTGGAAAGACCAGCTCAGGAGAGCATGTCTGCTTCTCTGGTGGACGCTTGTTCTGGTTACGAGGGAGATTGTCCATTGATGAAATATAGAGGCCCAGATAGTTGTCTAGACTATTCTGGGGGGGGGTCCTTATTGTAGCTACGGTATAATGGGCCCCAAAACCGTAATTATTCTAATTATATAGGTTTTAACTTAGGCCTTCATTGCTTTGATTGGTAGTGAACTAGTCAGACGGAGAAGTTTCTCAAGCCGGGTACTCGTTGCGAGGGTTTCGCAGAGGCAGCAGAGAGCGACGAGGAGATGGACGTTGATGCCAACCTCTGCTGTCCGACGGCACTGAGTGCCGTCCTCTCCTGTGTGTGTTTTCCTTGCTGGCTCTGCTCTGGGAACATCTTTGATCAGAATGAACGCGCGGCCGTTCCTGGGTTCTGCTTCAGATACCGCAGGGGTGTATAGTACATAACATTGCCATGCTGTCCTTATGATGGTACATTAAGTTCTGAAGCCTAAGTCAGGTTCTGGTCTGGGGAAAATATGTCGGGAGCATCAACGAGCCCGGTATCCACTTTGTCAACCCCTGTGGTGTGGCAATTCGAAAGATCAGCACCGCCCGGAAGACCTTGGACATCCGTGAAGTAGGAGTGACAGACAAGGCTGGATCACTTTCTGCCTGTAAGGGTTGCAGGCTTTGCGATGTTGGGAAGTGCATGTACCCGAGCCCAAGAAGGCACGAACCACGTAGAGTTCTTAAACTGCTTGCACTGTGTACATGCGTATGCGTATGCAGATGTCGTATATGCATACATATATAAATACATACACGTTCCATTACATCATTTGTCTGCTTTTATTGTACCCGTATATGTGTTTAAGCGTGTGTATATGTGTATATATATGTATAGTTCTATACATATATATGTATATATGTTTATGTATATATATATATATATATATGTATAGAACTATACATATATATACATCTTATTTAGCATACGCATGTGTGTGTGTGTGTGTTTGTAATCCCCCCTATGAGTTTCAGACTCGCGTTTTGTATCGCAAGTACGGTGTCAAGCCAGCTATTCCGGCAGGTTTAGATTACATGTCTGTCAAAGGGTGGCAAAACCAAAATTGCATTTCCGGGAACCGTGATGTAGAACGTGCCGGGCAAGTCTGAGCTTCCAGGTGGGCAGACACTCAACTGCATGTCTTGTGATCTGTCAATCCAAAGCCAACTACTCCCAGCAGATGAATTCGGTTTGAAATAACCATTTAATTTACGTATATGGGTGCATGTATGCATGTACGTATATATATATATATATATATGTATTTGCAGATATGTCATAATATATACATACGCACATATCTGTGTGTGTGTGTGCGCACGTGGTTATCATGCCCATCAGAAAACAGTGAACAGGATGGCAACCCCATCTACATCAGTGGCAACGTCGCCTACAAGATCCTTTCTGCGAAGAAGGCCACTGTGGACACGGCTTCGCCAGAGAAGTATACGGATGAAATGGCACCCATGGCTCTTCGCACGGTTGCTTCCAAGAGTCACTACAACGACCTTCGAGGTGAGTCTACCAGCCAGATGCTGGCCGAGGAGCAACCCAGCAGATTCAGGTATTCTTGTCGTGAAGCTTCCAGACGTGCACTTGTTCGGGCTTCATTTTCGTTTCAGAACCAGCCACTTAGGCTGCAGAAGCTCGTGACCAGTGCGGGCGTGCAGATACAGAGGTTCCAGCTAACCGACTTGCGGCGCGGCTACTTTTTTGTTTCTCATGCGTTGTTTTCTGTTTGTGTGTTTTTGGTTGAAGGATGAGAGCTTGGGCGATAGGACGGCACGGAGCCAATACAGCAAGAACAAGCAGGGGTTTCCTGTATAATGAATGCTGATTTTCGCCTACAGCCGAAAGCATCCTACTTTATCGGCAGCTAGGCTGCGTAGGTACAGAAGTTAAGCCCGAGGAAGTACGACAAGCAGATCGCTTCAGCGATGCTGGCGCGGCAACAAGCCACGGCACAGGTTGATGCGAAGCGTACCTTGGTACATGGTGCTGCCGAAACGGCCTCGAGCACGGTGATGCGTTTGAAACAGCTCGGCCACACCTTCAGCAGCGAGCATCTTGGTTCCTGCGACAGTACTGTTTTTACAACTCAGTTGCGAATCTTCGAACCGAGGGAACAGTAGCTATTCGCTCTTGTGAGCACTTCCCAACCATCGCCCAGGAATGAGCAACGTCTCATCCACGATCTGCTTCTCAAGAACCTGGACCCGGACTTCAAATCACAGTCAACTATGTATACGCAGCAGCCTTAGGCGGAAGATGCGGAACATCCGCAGAAACCCAGTTACCCATGCAATGCTTGACTATGCCAGTGTTACACTGCGGGAAAAAACGACTGTACAGGTAACTGGGCTTCTACAGAGGATTCTGACTTATACAAAAAATTCGAGCATGCCTCAGACCAGCTGAGGGCACCGAAGCTGAAATGCATCATGCGGCACAATCATGTAAAGCACAGCTGCTCTGACTGTGAGCAACATTCTGTCAGGGCCGTAAAAACAACAGAAGCTTGTCCTTAAAGGGTCATGGGACTTAGTAACTAGGCTTATAATTAGGGTAACTATATATACTTATAACTACTTATAACCCCAATTAGGGTACTTATAACCCTACTTACTACGTCCCATGATCCTCCAACCTGTCGTGTTCAAGTAGTTTGAGGGTTCCTGTGAAGGTCTGGAGTTGTGGTTTCAGAGTTTGAGCTTGCACTGCTGACTTTGATCTCAACGGTCTGTTGGGTTTGTAAGGCTTATAATAACGGGGCCTAAGTAATTACCAATACTACTTTGGGGGGTCCTTATTCCATTTACAGTATAGTGGGCCTCAAAACCCTATTCCAACCATTAAGGGCCCCTACATTAACTCGTGCTTCGGCATGAAGGGCCTCGATTGGACTCCTACTTAGGTCCTTAGGTCTGCCGGTGAGGAAGTCCAGCTATGTTTACTTATAATTGGTTAGTAGGGAATGGAGGAATGGGGTACAATTTTAACTACTAACCACTATGACTACCAGTCTTCCATTCCCTACTACCCAAAGGTAAGTTTAGGGTTAAAGAGTTTCGCGAAGTCCCCACTCATGTCTTCTGACTCCTTTACTTGCCTTCATCTACCCTAAACCCCAAACCCAGAGTCCATGGTACAGCGGCCCGGAAATCTGAAGGCCAAGTGCTAAAGCTTGGAGCCCAGGAGATGCTGAACCTGGCCTAACAGCTTCACCTGTTCATGATATGATAGGGGAGCCTATATAATTACCCATACTATTTGGGGGGGGTCCTTGTGATAACTACAGTATAATGGGCCCCAAAACCCTATTCTAATTATCAAGGCCCCTATGTTGTGGCATTTCCCCTGCTTCAAGAACCTAGGCCGTGAAACTCCTGTCGTAGTGCCAATGGTGTATTCGATGTTTCGGCCAAGCAAACCTTGATCCTCGGAATTTTGTGGGCCCAAACGTAACGTACTCTAAAAACGCCGAATCTTCAACCCTCAACCCTAAAGCCCAAAGCCCTACCCCTATCAAGGTTAAAGTTTAAGACTTAAGGCCCCGAGGTCTCAAGACCACAGCTTTGATGTCAAGGATAGCTTGAAGCTTGGATGGAAGCTGCTTCCGTGTGCAGCATTATCGGCTGAGGTTCTTATCTGTTCCTCGCTAGGCCCAGTTTGTCTCCAAAGTCGAGATCGGCTGTCATGGCGGTGAGGCCAGCTCAGGCGCAAATGTCTGCTGCCCTGGTGGACGCTGGCTTTACATAGTCATGCGAGACTTTGCTGTTGTAGATGGTAGAAACCTTACTCCTACTGAAGTCATGTACGGGTTTGCAGACCCACAGAGGAAGCGCAATCAGAGAGCGACGACGAGATGGACGTTGATGCCAACCTCTGCTGTCCGGATGCACTGAGCGCAGTCCTCTCCTGTATGTGTCTTCCAGCCTGGCTCTGCTCTTTGAGAGTCTTCGATCAGAATGAGCGCGCAGCCGCTCCTGGGTCGTGGTTAGTTCTATTCAAGTTGACACAGGACGGTAATTCTTATCTCAAAGCTCGTACATAACGTGGGCATGCTGTCCTTATGATGGTAGATTAAGAAGTTCCGAAGCCAAGATCAGGTTCTGGTCTGGGGAAAGTATGTCGGGAGCATCAACGAGCCCGGCATCCACATCGTGAACCCCTGCGGCGTGGTAACTCGGAAGATCAGCATCGCCCGGAAGACCTTGGACATCCGTGAAGTAGGCGTGACGGACAAGGCTGGATCACTCTCGTATATTATGGGAGTTTCCGAAAATAGGGGAGCCTAATATAGTACCCTAAATTGCGGGATCCTTATAATAAGGTACCCCTAACTTTCGGAAAATCCCATATGTATGTTTAACTTCAGTTTCATATCGTGATATCATTTTTCGCTTTGGTTTGAGGGTTTGCGATGCTCCTTGGCCCGGTCTCCAAGTCCCCGCCCCTCTAGGGGTTCAGCCGTGTTGTGAAACTCGAAATCCTGCTCCCGCCACAGTGCCGTGTGAATTTTGTGCAGGGTCTTTCTGTGCATGTCCGCCTGTCGAAGTTGTGCTGCCGTGACAGTGCTGCGCACGTTTCGGCTGCAACTCACTCGTTTTTCCGCCTTCAAAAAAATGTCGTGCTCCCACCATAATGTTGCAAGTCACTTTGTTCCGGCATCCCGACTAAGCCTCGCCCCACCTCACCGGCGCAGCAGTAGTGCAGTAGAACGGTTTACTATACGGGCCTGAATAATTACCCATAGAATTTTGGGGGTTCCTTATTAATCCATATTCTACTTACTAAGGCCCTTATTTTGAGGGAACCTAACCCTCCGAAGCCCAGCGTGGGGGCCTCTTAGAGCTCGACTCTTGACCTCTCAGGCCTCAGGTTATCTTTTTGGGTTTAGGGTTTAAGGGTGTTAGATGCGCTTCTTTGTCGGCTGACGACCATATGACTATGACTAATGACTGTGGCTATGGCTGTTGGTGTGGCTGTGTTGTTTGCTCTGGTAGGATAGGATAGTCAAGCTGAACTATGACTCAATATGGTCTATTAAAGAAAAATGCTACGGATTTTCAGAAAAGAGCCAACAGGATGGCAACCCCATCTACATCAGTGGCAATGTGGCATACAAGATTATCTCTGCGAAGAAGGCCACGGTGGACACGGCCTCGCCAGAGAAATATACATTTGAGATGGCGCCCATGGCCCTTCGCACGGTGGCTGCCAAGAGTCACTACAACGACCTGCGGGGCGAGTCTATCAGCCAGATGCTGGCCGAGGAGCAACCTGGCAAATTGAGGTATTCTTCGCGAAGCTTCCAGACGTGCACTTGTTCAGGCTTAGCTTTTTCAGATCCAGCAACTTAGGCTGCAGAAGCTCGTGACCAGTGCGGGCGTGCAGATACAGAGGTTCCAGCTAACGGACTTGCGACGCGGCTGCTCTTTGTGCTTGTTTGTCTTTGGGCGCTCAGACACGCCCAGAAGTCCATTTGCGAGGGAGGCAAGGACCTAGTAATGCAAGGCTGACAGGGACTGGCGGCTTCTACCACTAAAAGCCCAGTTGCCTGCATAATGGGTCTGCTAACCGACAGAAAGCTGCTGCACCGGCAATGTTCGTTCTTCTTTTCGTGCTAAGGAAGTACGACAAGCAGATCGCATCAGCGATGTTGGCGCGGCAACAAGCCACGGCACAGGTTGATGCGAAGCGCACCTTGGTACATGGTGCTGCTGAAACGGCCTCGAGCACGGTGATGCGTTTGAAGCAGCTCGGCCACACCTTCAGCAGCGAGCATCTTGGTTCCTGTAACAGTACGGTTTTGACAACTTGGTTGCGAATCTTCCTACCCAGAAAGCAGTAGTTTTCTGCGGTCTACGCAGATTTACGCAGTTCCCAAAAATCGCCCAGGAATGAGCAGCGTCTCATCCATGATCTGCTGCTCAAGAACCTGGACCCGGACTTTAAATCGCGGTCAACAATGTACACGCAGCAAGCCTAGGCCCTAGGTGGAAGATGCTGAACATGCCCTGAAGCCCAGTTACCCATGGCATGCGTTCAACGCCTGGCTATACTATGGCCATATAGGGGTGGTGTTCGACTACATTACTACATTCAAGGGCCAGGGGTAACAGGGCTCCTGGGGAGACTGCAGCCACTTCAGGTTGCTGACAGGTTGCTGGACAATTCGAGCACGCGCCAATCATGTAAAGGCCATCTGCGCTAGATCGCTTCGGCAAGAAAACTAAAGGATGTAGTGCTTGCAAGTGGGAGTTTCCGAAAACAGGGGATCCTAATATAGATCCAGTAGTACCCCAAATAGTACTGGTAGGACCCTTATCATAAGGACCCCAAAATAAGGTACCCAACTAGCTAGATACCCTACCTAAAGTAAGGATATACTAAATTTCAGCTAGTTAGATACCCTACCTGTAAGGATATACTAAATTGCTAAATTTCAGCTAGTTAGGAACCCTACCTAAAGTAAGGGTTTTTCTAAACGACCAAGGAAGACCATGCTGCGGAATCGTTTCAAGCTTTCAGGCCCTAGCCGTTCCCAGTCTGAGTTTCAAGCTGCTATCCAGCCCGAGCCTGCCTTAAACCTCCTTACGGTCATGGTGAGCGCAGAAGATGTAACCAATAGTCAATGCCAGTGTTCTTTCCATCGCTCTCGGTGTTCATCACCTTGCGCTTGTCATGATCATCATATATCTCGTTAGGTATGCGAGTGGTTACAATACAAGACATCGGACATACTAGGCATGGTATGTCAAGCACGGTAGTTTAGCTTGTCGAAGTCTGTTCGGGTTGATCCTTCAAGCCTAAATCTCTGAACCCATAACCCAGAGACCTTCAATCCCTAAACTACGTCCGACATGTTATCCCGCCAAACCCTACCCAACCGCGAAGCTTCCTAGGGTTTGTTTGCGGTTCATTGTTCGGGATTCAAAGTTTAGGGTTTAGAGGGCTTAGGGCCTAGGGTTTAGGAGGAGTTAGAGTTTAAAAATTCAGGTTAGGAGGTGAAGATTTAATGTCCCATGCATCCGGCTAGCAGATCGTGCAGCAGCAAGGCAATGAGGCTGTCAGAGATGGGGAAAGGTTTGGCAAGCCCAGGGTGGTGCCAAGACACGACAGTTAGTTCATCTTGGGTCTAGGGTTTACATGGGTTTACGTTTAGCGTTTCGGAGTGCTGGGTGTATGCTAGTGGGTGTAAATGGGAGCAGTCACCCAGGATAACTTGGGATAGAAGTACAATCAAAACTTAGGTTATATAAAGCAGAATCGGAGTTTGGTGCATTCCAGGCTCGATGTCATGGGGGTGAAGGGTTGCTGGGCTGCTGGGACCTTCACCAGTGTTCAACGCCGTAAGCATGAACATAGATGCCTGAAAACTTGCCAACGTGATTATTCCTTGGGGCTGGTTATGCAGAATGTGCCATATTGTGCCCAAGCTTTGTTCTGATTGTATTTCGCAGGGCTTCTATTATTACAGTCCTTGTTCTTCCATGTCGAATCCCAAAAGTGGTAGCTCGGGCCATACCACACAGACCCGGGTCCTGAAAGTTGTGTCCGTCACTGCAACCAGACTCTGAGGGTGCATGTACCCTATAACTTATGCCTTCAACGGGCGCCCATATTTCGTCACTTTGAGGACAAAGTTTTCAGCGTATAGGTACATGGACCCTTGGGGAATGAACCACCATCGCATCCTCAAGCCAGCTTCATCGTAGATCAAGGCAAAGATAGCTGCGCGGCAGATGCGTCAAGTGCAGCGTGCACTGCCTGCCGTGCGGCTCTCAGCTTGCGAAGCGCATGGGTCACCTGCTGGTGTTCAGGATTTAAGGTTTGGTTTCTTGGCAGCCACAAGCCTACCTTTTCGAGGACAAGAACAAGAAAGGCAAAACAAGGAACTGTGAAGCTTTGGGTTTTGTCCGCCTTTGGGTACTTGGAGGATCAAGGGACTTGGTAAGTAAGGTTAGAGGTATATACCCTGACTGGGGTTATAAGTAACTATAAGTATAGTTACCCTAGTTATAACCCTAGTTACTAAGTCCCCTGACCCTTTAAGTAACATATAGGGAGCGGGGGGCCCAGGAACCAAATCTTCAAACTTAGCATGTTCTACAGGCCCAAACCTGACTGTTGAAACTCTCCCAAGCACTGACTAAGGCAGGATCCAGCGTGCTTTGTTCGCACAACATGCACCAAGCAACCCCTAGCCCCAGTAGTTGGAGGTTCGAGCTTTTTGCATCTAACCACTGATGAGAAACATAGGTCTGAGAACTAGTTAGGGTTGAGGGAAAAATTAATTTACTGCCTAGGTCACATTAAGGGTTCGGCATTCAGGGTTCAAGGTTAAGGATAAATCCGAAACCCTAGACACTGACTCGCAGCACATCCAACATCAGCAGACGAGTTGTCCTTTTTCCGGTAGAGGGGTGCATTGCACGGAAAGAGAACCTAATTAAGCAGGATGTGTCAGGAATATGATGTTGCGCTCT